ACGCTGGATAGCGATTCTCAATGTGAATGTTTGAACAAGTGACGTCTCATGATTCAATATTCACCATTGCTTTACTATGAAAGCGAAATAATCTTATTTAATATCGATTGTAGAATCGGCAATTATCTAACATAAAAATATTATATATATATACGTAATGTATTGCCATTAAATTACTCTTTTATACTTATTTCATTATATTGAATTATCCTTAGTTTCAATTATTTTTTCAATTATTTTTTATAAAGAGCAAGTATTAACATAAAGAGCAAGTATTCCATTAATTTGATACGAATCAAAGAATTTTTATTGTTTATTAAATAATGATTTATAAATAATATCTAACAATTAATTTCTTTATTAAAGATTATTATTATTTTTTCGAAATTACGTATGTTTGTAGTAATAATCAATATTTAAAAATATAATTTGCTAATTTGTAATCGTATCATTTCGATTGCTTAGAGAACTATGCGAAGCATCTAATGTCAATTTAAATTTGACGTAGGATTACAAGGAATTAATAAATCATGGATCTTTGGATCCATTAGATGCTTCTCTCATGAATTATTTGTTTCCGAAGGAAACAAAAATATTGCGCTGCAAATCGCATACTGGTGTGGGTTTTGCGATGACATCGTGATTTTTGACATTCGATTGTTACTTCGTTGCGGAAAACGTCGTTCTATTTAACACCGCCATTTTCGCATGGGCACTCATTTTGTGCTTTTGCATGCAGATTATTGTGACGATCGGTATTCAACAGAACTGATGTTCGGTAGGTTAAAACTTCACCCCGTTTTCTATCTCCGTGCGTCTGGATCGTTGCCAGGGCAATTTTAGCTTTTATTCGACGCTCAATAGTCTATTTTAATTCCGTGAAAGCACGGAGTGTAAAATGTGACAGACATCGTTAGATTTACATAAAGTTTACGTATCTGCGTAACTAGCCGGCGAGTCGGCAGCTATCTATATAGACGCCCTATATATGCAGTTTCGCTATAGTTTCCTCGCTCTCTCTCTCTCTCTCTCTCTCTCTCTCTCTCTCTCTCTCTCTCTCTCTCTCTCTCT